AGAGTATAGGACCTTAGGTGGAATCCTGAGTCCCATCGACAACCTTGTGAGGTGAGACATTTCCAGTAGAAAGGACTAGCAGACTGGAACAGCTACAGTGACAGATGATACATCTTCATGACAAACCTGACCTATACTCAGAGCGGTAGTTACTCTAAATACCAACAGAGAGGGAACGAGTCTTCAAATCAAGTTTCAATGTTATCCACTCTGTACACAGGGTAGATAGGAAAGGGCAACTTAGACACTGGCTACCTAAAATGAGGGGGCAATAAAGATACGAAGTGACTAGCTTACAAGGTTTCAAGAGGAAGCTTAGTTTAAGAGGGTGCGGGGAAAGAAAGTATCCCCACTGAATAGGCATCATCTTGTCTAGATGGGTCTGGTGAAAGGAGATGGGGATAAGATTCGTAAGATTCAATAGTGAATAACTGTTATCATGACTAATCGCGACTGTCACACTTGTAAAGGTAGAAATTTTGTAACAAAAAAAGGGGAGTGGTTAATCTAACTGTCCAGAAACAGAGGACCCTAGGAACATCAAGAGAGAAGAGCACAAGCAGCATGAGGGATCTTATCCAGAGAAGCAGCAGCGCCAGAGATGGAGGCAGAGATGGTGGTATGGAGAGGGGGAGCAGCTGAGGACTCTAGATTCATCAACTAAGAAAAGAAGGACTAAGAACTGGTGGCCAGCAGCAGATTTGCAGAAAGTGCCCTTTGGAGATGTAAATTATTATATATGCCTGAGTGGGGTTTTTTTGTTTGTGTGTTTTTTAAAAATATAAAGTGGATAGAGAAATACTTTTAACTGATGGTATATGGAGGGGATTATAATCAATGTAATGAAACAAGTTATATGAATGGTTGAATGTAAAACTGATGATGTGCCCTATAAACATTCACTCAATCCACAATACAAACCTTAAATTAAAAAAAAAAAAAATCAAGGGTAGAGTCAGGGCTTTTATCATTTTTATAATAATATGTTTTATAACAATCATCAAGAAAGTAGTATAAAGGAATTTTAGTATTAACTTCTAAAATTCCCAAAATGGCACTGTAGGATAAGCACTCAGCCATAAGGTCAGTTCGCAGTGGTTCAAACTCATTAATCGCTCCTCACAAACCCTATACAGGGTTGCTGAGTTGGAACTGATTTGATGGCACTTAACTCATTTCAGGTGTTCCAGATTCCTTTCCTCTGTTCCTGTTTGCCTGATGAAAACATCAATTTTCACTATATTCCCATTCAGGAGCCTTGATGACACTGTAGGATAAGCATGGGACTGCTAACTACAAGGTCAGCAGCTCAAATCCACGTTGCAGAACAAAAGATGCAGCTTTCTGCTCCTGTAAAGACTTACAGCCTCAGAAACCCTATATGGGAAGCTATGAGTCGGCATCAACTTAATGGCAAGTGAATTTGGTTTTCCTTTTTGTATATTCCCATTCAGTGAGTTCAATAAATATTTACTTACTGAAAACCTCTAAGATCACCAGCAAAGTCCAACTGCGTGAAGCAACATGACATTCATTCAATTTTGCGGTCTTTAAGATTCCTTGTTGTTTTTAATAGGTATAAAATTTTGATTTTTTTCTATACTGTTCATAAAAGGGAAGAGGAGTTTTTGAGTTCAGGATGAGTTTTGTTGTTGTTAACTGCTGTTGAGTCAGTTCCAACTCATAGCGACCCTGTATAGGGTTTCCGAGGAGCAGCTGGTGAGCTTGAACTCCGACCTTGCAGTTCAAATGGCTTTGCAGTCTGGCGCATTAACCCACAGCGCCACACCAGGATGAGTTTGGGTTTGGTCTAAAAAGGTAAAATGCTAACAAACAGCTTCAAATCTACTATCATGATTAACCACATTTCCTTTTTTGTCCCCTTTAAAAAATTTTGACGACAATATATCGAGCAAAGCATATAGCAAATCAACAGCTTCTCCTTATTCAGTTCACTGACACTGATTACATTTCTTGAGATGTACAACCATTCTCACCCTTCTTCTCTAAGTTGTTCCTCCCTCATTAACATGGAACTCACTGTCGTCTAAGGTTCTTATCTTTCAAGGTGGTAGTAAATTTGATCCCATAGTTAGTTAGTAAAAGAATATAATACACAAAGCAATCCATTTTTTTACTAGCTAAGCTAAACTACTGCTTGGTTTTACTAGTTAAGCTAAACTACTGCTTGGAGCTCTGGTAGCGTAATGGTTACAAATCGGGCTGCAAACTGCAAAGTCAGCAGTTGGAAACTACCAGCTGTTCCGCGGGAGAAAGATGAGGTGTTCTCCTCCTGTAAAGACTTACAGCCTTGGAAACTCTGTACAGGGTCGCTATGAGTCGGAACTGACTCCATGACACACAGCCACAACTACCACTGCTTGGTTTTAAGGAGACTTTAGAGGATATTTAAATCCATGGAACTCAAAGAATACCAGATTTTATGTAAATTGTTCTAACAAGATGAGCCAAGTGTCTCTTTCTCAAAGTGGGAGGGCAAGTGGGAGCTAGAAGGTAGGAATGCCAGGAATTACTTACTTGTCAAGGACTCAATGACTAGTCTTGGTCCAAGTGCTAGGATGTCATAAAGGCAGGTACAAAATGTTATAAGAATACAGAAGAGGAAAAGGTGGGGAAACACGAGGGGTCAGGAAGGGTTATGAATACAGCTATGAAGAATAAGGATTCACGAGTAAAGGCTAACTCAGAAGGAAAGAAAATTGAGAGCAAAATCTTCCTGTCTGCTGAGTTCCATTTTTTTCACATAAAAGGAACTTAATTATATGGCAGTATTGGTTAGTCCCGGTGTGGTGCTGTGGGTTAATGTGCCAGACTGCAAAGCCGTCTGAACTGCAAGGTCGGTGGTTCAAGCTCACCAGCTGCTCCTCAGAAACTTTATACAGGGTTGCTATGGGTCAGAATCGACTCAATGGCACTTACCAACAACATTGTTTAAGATAGCTGTTAGAGGATCTCGTCTCCCAGGTGCTAATATTGTTGTCTTTAAGTGCTGTTGATTTAGTCCTGACTCATAGTGACCTCATGCACAGCAGAACAATTCATCCTTAGAATTATTGTCATGTTTAAGCCCATTGTGTCAATCCATCTTGTTGGGGTTTCTCTTTCTTGCTGATCCTACACTTCTCCAAGTACGATGTCCTTCTCCAGGGACTGGTTCCTTTTATCAATATGTCCATAGTATGAGAGATCAATGTATATCACTAATCAATAGCTTTTTAAGCAGTTATTTCTTGAATTATTTTTGGAATTATTAAGCATCTGACACTGATAAACAACTCCATCTTTCTGAATGGTGGGTCAAACACTGATTTGACAGTGGTAAGAGGGAGATGTTATTCATTACTTTCTATGAGGGGGAAAAAAATCCATTAACTTTTAATTCAATTTGTCCAGAAACTTTCTGAAGCTCCCTTTTAATTATCTTGTAATGAACATATATTTTATGTTCAATGAAACACCACAGAACTGTTTAAAATAATAAGGTATGTAAGCAGTCATATATAATATCCTATTCAGTTCAAAAAGCAATAGACAAAACCTTGTGTTTTTCATGGTGTCATTTGTATCTAAAGGCAGGGAGGGGATGAGAGGCAGGGAGCTAGAGGTATACATAAATTGTCTTATACCTGGTTTATCTATTTCAGCAAGATTTTACCTGAAACTTACTGGCAAAAGTGATCCCTTCTTGGAAAGGAAACCAGGGAAGCTGTGTTAGGATAAAAGGCATCATACATTCTTTGTTTACACTTCTAATTGATTTTAAAAAAACTACACATTTTACCTTTTACAAAACAATATAACACTTTAATGTGTGTGTGCATACACACACACACACACACACACACACACACACACACACATATATATATATGTAGAGAAAGCTCAGGTAGCATAGTGGTTACAAATCAGGATGCTAATCTCAAGGTCAACAGTTTGAAACTAACAGTGGTTCTGCAGGAGAAAGATTAGGTTTTCTACTCTCATAAAGATTTACAGCTTAGGAAACCATATACAGGGTCACTATGAGTCAAAATCAACTCCATGGCACATAATCACCACCATATATATGGATGCCTGGTGTGGCAATGTGGGTTAATGCGCTGGATTGCAAAGTCTGTGTAAACCGCAAGGTTGGTGGTTCAAGCTCACCAGCTGTTCATCAGAAATGCTATACAGGGTCACTAAGGGTTGGAGCCGACTCAACAACATATATATACATGGAGTCTTGGTGTGGTGCTGCAGGATAATGCACTGGACAACGAGGTCAGTTTAACTGCAAGGTCAACGGTTCAAATAGACAAGACATCCTCAGAAACCCTATACAAGGTCACTGTGCATCAAAACTATAATAATGAAGTAAGCTAGGAAAAAAAGTCTGTATTCATTCTAAATTTAAGTAGGAATATGGCTGAATACACAGTTGAACTGGCTACATGGTTGGTTTCCTCTGGTGCTCAAAACAGGGAGAGTACTAATTCTATTGCCACCAAATCATCATCTTGGCATTAGTTTTCCTAGTATAATAACAACTTTAAAATGTATAAAAATGGGAGGGGAATGGGGATAGACCCCCCAAGACAACACTGTCAAGTACCTTTCAATTATAAGTCTTATAAGGAGATAAAACAGAATTGAAAATTAACTTGTCCTTGTGATAAAGATATAAACAAAAATTTGACTATCTATATATAGTTTATTGCTGGTTGCATAGTCTCTTACCAGTGATAGAGAATTGTCTTCTAAAATAAGTTCTTCAAGTTTCAGTGCAATTAGATGTGTTTCAAGCCCTTTAATATGATCCACAACATTGGAAACTAAAGTCTGAAGACCAGTTACATAGTCTTGGAAACTGGTAAAGACAGGTGGCTGGAAAAAAAGATTTAAAAAAAAAAATGTTGAAAGATCACCAATCGTACTTCCTGTGCTTACATCATATAAGCTATGCCAACTTCATGACACAGCATTACTTTAAACTCGCAACAACAGCAGAAATGGATACAGTTTTTTATATTAATACAGTCTCTCAAACAAAAGTGAACTGACAACAATCGAATAACTGCTAACGCAGCAATGATAACCCAGCTGGTCATCATGATGTTTTTAAAAAATGAGAAACCAACAGAAATTAAAGACAGCAATCAATAGTAAATATCTCAACTTAAGCTTGACAAAGTACCTAGTACAATAAAGGATGAAATGAACCAAAACTTTATACTGTATCGTTGTGTTAATGAACAGACACTGAATATTCTAAGTTCAAATGGGAAAATGAATAGGAGGGGTGCAGGCAACGATGTGCGCCAACAGATATCAGAATACAATAGGAAGTTACAGTAAGACTAGTGGTCCTCGTATATAAGTGAATTAACAAAAAGTGAAAAGAAACAAGGACCTATGCAAATTTAAAAAGTGGTATTTCAAAACAGACTTCTTCAACTGGGTCAATGAATGAATGGCACTGGGATAACTAGCTAAACATTTAGAAAAATGCCAGATAACTATACTCATTTCTTAAATGAAAACGAATTTGAGATAGGTTAAATAAAATTTCCATCAAAGTACCAAAAGAAAATGTAGTTGATGACTTCTATAATAATGAAGTAAGCTAGGGGAAAAAAAATTACTACATGACATGGGGGAGTGTCAATGTTTGCTATCAGGTGGGCAACAGGTACAGCACAGTCAACACTGCTGGGAGGCAAAGAGATAAAGGGTGTAAACTGACATGATCTTTTTATTGGACAAACTGGTAAAGATCCTTTAAGATGTGCACACACTTATTTCAATTCTAAGAGCAATCCTAAGAAAATGTTATGAATTAATCTTTGTGTGAATATGTCCATAATTTAATAGCAACAATCATATCAATTGTAACCAATTAAACATTCATCAAGAGGAATAAACTATGACATAGTAATACAACAGATGTGGTGCTGTGGAATAAAACACTGGACCAAAAGACCAGTTTGAACCCTAAGATCATGGTTCAAACTCACCAGCAGCTCCTTGGAAACCCTATACAGGGGTCACTGAGTTGGAACAGACTCAGTGACGCTCAACAACAACAATAGGATGGTATACAACTATTTAGAGTAATGAGATACATCTGTATTTAGTGACATGAAGAGATGTCCAGACACCCTATATGTACAACTAAGAAAAGACAAGCTAGAGAATCTTCTGGATAACATGACTAGACATCTTCACTGTATTCACAGTGTTATGGGTTACTCTGATCATCAAAAAAACAGGAAGGTCATTTTCATTTTGGAAGTTAAAAAAGCAACAGAAAGCCCCACACTCAAATTCTAAAAACCAGAAAGCTATCTGACAAGTTCTAGATTTGCAGGTTTATCATTAGGTGGGAGAACAACAAAGTAAGTCGGATTGACACCTTCAAACTTTACAAATTTCTTGATCAGAGAAAGTACAAGAGAAACTTCCTTTATTTAGCCTCTCATAAAAATCTGAGTACCCTTTGTTTGTGTCTAATTAAGAGACTTCCTTAACTGTTAGTAAGCTGGATTGCTCAGGAAGTCCTAATTACCCATGAGCATCTATAAATGATAATGGTTCCTATGTTGCTACTGTTGTTGTTATCAAGTATTAAGTTGGTTTTGGCTCATAGCGACCCTGTATAGGGTTTCTGAGGAGTGGCTGGTGGGCTAGAACCACCCAACTTGCAGTTCAAACAGAACTTGCAGTTCAAACAGAACTTGTAGTCCAGCGCATTAACCTGCAGAGCCACACCAGGACTCCTATGGTGGTAGTGGTTATGTGCCATGGAGTCAGTTCCAATTTATAGCAACCCTGTACAGGGTTTCCGAGGCTGTAATCTTTACTGCAGCAGAAAGCTTCATCTTTCTCCTGCGGAACAGCTGGTAGTTTCGAACTGCTGACCTTTGAGGTTCTCAGCCCGATTCGTAACCACTATGCTACTAGAGCACCTCAGGAATCCTATAAGGGACAAAAATTTGCATTAATAATGATAAGATAAACTCAATAATAAAACAGCTTCCATGTGCTGCTGTTGTTGTTGTCAGGTGCCATCGAGTTGGAACCGACTCATAGTGACCCCATGCACAGCAGAACGAAAAAATGTCCGATCCTGGGCCAACCTCACTACCGCTGCCACACTTGAGTCCATCAATGATGCCACCTGGCCAATCCATCTCGTTAGGGGTCTTCCTCTTTTTCTCTGACCCTCCACCTTACCCAGCATGACATCCTTCTCCAACGACTGTTTCCTCCGGACAATATGTCCAAAGTATGAGAGATGAAGTTTAGCCATCCTGGCCTCCAAGGAGCACTCTGGCTGCACTTCTTCCAAAACAGATCTATTGGTTCTTTCGGCAGTCCATGGCACTTTCAGTATTCTCCAACACCACAACTCAAAGGCATCAATTCTTCTACGATCTTCCTTATTCACTGTCCAGCTTTCGCATCCATATGAGGCTATTGAAAACACCATGGCTTGGGTCAGGCGCACCTTAGTCCTCAAGCTGACATCTCTGCTCTTCAATACTTTAAAAAGTTCCTGTGCAGCAGATTTGCCCAATGCAATACGTCGTCTGATCTCTTGACTGCTACTTCCGCGAGTGTTGATAGTAGATCCAAGAAGAATGAAGTCCTTGACAACTTCAATCTTTTCTCCATTGATAAGAATGTTGTTTATTGGTCCAGTGGTGAGGATTTTTGTTTTCTTGACATTGAGATGTAATCCATATAGAAGACTGTGCTCTTTGATCTTCATAAGTAAATGTTTCAAGTCCTCTTCACTTTCAGCAACCAAGGTTGTATCATCTGCATATCGCAGGTTGTTAATGAGTCTTCCTCCAATCCTGATGCCTCGTTTTTCTTCATAGAACCCAGCTTCTCGTATTATTTGCTCAGCATACAGGTTGAATAAGTATGGTGAAAGAATACAACCCTGTCTCACACCTTTCCCAATTTTAAAACATTTCAGAGTTCCCATGTTCTGTTCGAACAACTGCTTCTTGGTCTAGGTACAGATTTCTCAGAAGTACAATTAAGTGTTCTGGAATACTCATACTTCTCAATGTTGTCCATAGCTTGTCATGATCCACACAATCGAAAGCCTTTGTGTAGTCAATAAAGCACAGGTAAACATCCTTCTGGTATTCTCTGCTTTCAGCCAAGATCCATTGGACATCAGCAATGATATCTCTCGTTCCACGGCCTCTTCTGAATCCAGCTTGAACCTCTGGAAGTTCTCTGTCAATGTATGATTGTAGCCGTTTCTGTATTACCTTTAGCAAAGCTTTACTCGCTTGAGATATCAAAGAGATTGTCTGATGATTTCCGCATTCTGTTGGGTCACCTCTCTTTGGAATGGGCATAAATATTGATCTCTTCCAATCAGTCAGCCAGATAGTTGTCTTCCAAATGCTGTAATGAATCCTAAATAATTTTTCCTTGTGAAAATGATACAAATTATGTTAATGTTCCCCACATTTAAAAACTAAACTTACTCAATAAAGATGGGGAAATGTTAACATTAAATAGAAACCAATATATAAACCTTACATCACATCAGTAATAAAATCTCGGTGTTTCATTCCAGCATTTTTACACAGTACATTACATGGAATACACATAGTATATTCCAGAGCATATTCATTGGAATATACTCTAAACACAAATAACCTGTAAAACACTGGACTTTATTTAGTGAGTTTGTTAGAGGCACTAGTAGGGGAACAGATATTGAATTTGTTATTTTGAAAAATATTATTAAGTATATTGTCCTAGTTGAACATCACTCATGGAATGAGGAAAGGAGTGGAAGAGAATGCTGTGATACTGGGTTGAAATTGGAAATAACAGAATTTGTGTGTGTGTCTGTGAGAGAGAGAGAACACAAATTTCATAGTGCTCTGCAATGAAATGATGTTTCAGCAATGAGCACATTGAATACCTAGATCTTGGATTCAAAATATCATTCCCCAGAGAAGCTACCTGGAGTCCATGGAAAAGTATGTCTGTCTTCGGTCTGTGAGCAGGGAAAGTAAAAGTGCTGGAAACATTTTGGTCATTCTAGTAAAAAGAGCTTAAAACCTGATGAGGACAAGTAAAAGTATAGCAACCAACTTATCCCATTAGCCAAATTTGGGACTATGTGAATATCCAAAAGAAAATGATAATTATAATAAAGTTAATTTAAAATATAAGTCCACTCAAATAGACAAAAGTAATGTTAAGCTATATATATATATATGCATATTATATGAGGGATCTCCAAAAAGTATGTGGAAAATTAGAATTGAAAGATTAAAATACAAACTTTATTTCTCAATATAAGCTTCATCAAAATCAAGATGTTTTTGTAAGCGATGTCACTATTTAGAAATTGAGGGTCCTGAGCATTTAACCATGCCAGTGAAGTCTTCTTTACATGATTAACTAATGAAAAATGGGTGCTTTTAAAGATTTTTTAAAGATCAGAACAAAAAGAAATCAGAAGGAACCATAAGGTAAATGACTAATAATTTTCAATCATGTAAGTGGAGCTGAGACATCTACATTGCTGGCTATTTCTACCGCTATCAGTCCTCTCTAATTAGGGAACAAACAAGATTGTTTCCTTGCAAATTGATTTATGTGAGGCACTGTCCCAGTAAACTTCCTATAAAGCATCAATGATTTCTCCATTATTCCACCCAAATTTCACCATAAATTTGATGTCTGCTCTTGCTTCAATTTTGGCAGAATTCATGTTTCTCTGATAAGGGGCTCAAACTAGATCTTGTCTAGACATGTTATAACTATTACAAGTTTTTTGGTGCAAAAGAATTTTGAAGTCCAAGCATAATATTTTCATAATGCACATCTTAAATAAATAGAAGACCCCTTATATATTCAAAGAGTGAATATGGAATTAAAAAATAATGGAATTTTTCTATGAAATTTTGGAAGCCCCTCATTTGTATGCATGAAAGGAGCTGGGAAAGCTCTAATTTTAAAGAATAATGCCAACTAATAAATAATGAAGGATTGACAGAATTAGAAAATCACCATTTTGGAGACCATCAAAGTAATAAGTGAGTCAATGAATGCTAAAACCACTGGATGAAAGGCTGGGAGAAAAAATATTCAATGAATTACAGAGGGTCGACCTTTACAATGAACAAAATCTTTATATATATTTCCTTAATGATGGTATTACCATGATAATGCTGGTTTCTTTTTTCTTCTTTTTCTTCTTCTGTAAATTTAATTTGTATGGTCGTAGAACACTCTCACAGTAACTAGACACCCAAAGGATAATAGAAATAGTCTGTAGAGATGAAATTGCAAATTGATCAGTAAGGAATACACAAGATATACGTCTCATGAATTGGCAATGTATTATAAACAGAGGAATTCTATCAGTTGTTCTGTACTAATCTTTTCAATTTCTCCTACAGATCTATCCTCTGCATTCTCATTTCTACAATCACCATACTGGATTCAGAACTTCTTTAATCTTTTACTCAGAATATATTATGAATCTTTATCCTTTCTTCTGGTTCTACCAACTCTAAATCCATCCTCACTACACTATAGTTTCCTGCTGCTTCCCTGTAGGAAGGAGAGAGCCATTAACAACCTTCTCCCCATACTATCCAGGTGACCAGAGGTGTGACCAGCTTCAAACCTCATCTACCCTCATCATACCCCTGCTCTCTGGGAGTTCAGAGCAACATGGTTGGGAGCCACGCCAGTGTAATGTGGGGGACAACTGTGCTGCTTTGGTACCTAGAATCAAGTGGGCTCAACTTAGAACCTACAAAACCCAGAGCCACCAGACCAGCATCTAACAAATCACCCTGCCCTCAGCTGCCCAGTGGTCCTAACAGACACTGAACTTTTTCAAGACTGAGTGCTCTTGAACTATTTCAAGACTGAGTGCTCTGACCATAGATGGCTGAAGGCAACAGGTATTCTACTGTCACATCCCTTTCATACCTACCTCGTGAGCTCCTTGGCTTTCAAGAGCCTCCCAGAGTTTTCTTCTTTCTGGATACAACAGCTGCACTGTTTTTTGTTGTTGTTGGGCTTGGTTTTATCTTTTGCTGTTTCATTGTTTTGTTTGTCTATTCTATCTACCCCTTGTACTTCCATCCCCTTGAATTTTATCCCTTCTATCTCCACTTTTGTTGTTCCTGTTTTCTTTGGTTTCTCATTTCCCGTCTGCTTTGTTTTCCTGTTTGATCTTTCTCTTTTCATTCCCCCTCTATCTGATTTTTCTAAGAATATCTTAATTTCTTCCTTTTATGTCCTCTCTTCTTTTCTCTACTATAGCTTCATTTTCCTGTCCCCTTTTCTCTTTTTAGTTGTTCTTAAGTTTTTTTATTGCCTCCTTTTAAAATCATTATATTCTTCTTTGCTTATTTCAGCCTGTTTTTATTTCTCTTTTCAATGTTGTTTCCTTGTTTATTATTCTCTTTTGCTTTTTTGTGTGTGTGGTAGAAGTTTCTATACCACCTGATTAATGGCAGACAGCAGCCAACACCAGCCAAACCCACCCTAAACTGAAATGAACCAAGGATGGATGAGAACATTATACATGTTTCCATTCTCCAAATAAACCCACAGAAAACAGTTGGTGAGAGCCTGAGAATATATCAACAAGCAATCATTAATTAAATACAAATACTAACTACAATCCCACAATGCCCCAGAGACAACAATTTTAGTTAACACAAAGAAAAAAGAGAAAATGGCTCAAACAAATGGCCAAGACGCAGAGTCAGAAGATGTTTTTAAGAAGAAAAGGTAATGAAACTAACTGAAAAAGAATAAAAAAAAAAAAAATAATTAAGTCACTTCAAAGGATCAATAGAAAGTTCCAGGAAAGCAAGAACACAGGAAAAAAACTTTAGAACAATTAAGGAAAACACTACAATAACAAACAGACAAAATAAATGTAAACTAAAACAACACAAAACCTGCAATTAGAAATCCAGCAGATTAATACTAAGATTTCAGAAGTGGGCAATTCATTGAAAGGGCAAAGGAGTAGATTCAAATCAATGGAGCCCAAATTAGTGTGGTTACAGAGAAATCTCTCAATACTAGTATGCTACAAGAATCATCGGAAAAAAGAATGAAAACATCTGAGGAAAGCCTAAGAGTTATATGGAACACCATGAAGAGGGACAACTTACGGGTGATTGGGAATACAGAATAAGAAGACACAATAAAAAGCACAGAGAAAATTGTCAGAGTTGTTGGAAGAAAACTTCACTAACATCATAAAAAATAAGAAGATAGCCATTTAAGAAGCTGACTGAACCCAAAATAGGACAACCCAAAAAGAAAATCAACAGGTCATATCATAATCAAACTTTCCAAAACCAAAGACAATAAAAGAACTCTGAGAGCAGCTTGGGAAAAACAAGAAGTTACCTACAAAGGAGAACCAGTAAGACAACAGAAACTATGCAGAAAAGCAATGGAATGACATACAAAGCTGCCAATCAAGAGTCACATACTCAGCAAAGACGTCTCTCAAATACAATGGCAAAATTAGGACATTTCCTGAAAGCAGAAATTAAAGGAATTTGTAAGACCAACTTTACAAAAAATGCTAAAGGGTATTCTTTGGACTGAGAAACAACAGCAGACAACAACCTGAGATCATTATATATGACAACATCACCTTGAACTCAATCCAGATATACAAGTTTTAAAAGTAAAACAAGTTTTTTACGAAGACGGCGCCAAAAGAAAAAAAGGAAGCCCCTGCCAGTCTCAAAGCTGAAGCCAAAGTAAAGGCGTTGAAGACCAAGAAGGTAGTGCTGAAAGGCGTCCACAGCCACACAAAAAAAGATCTGCACGTTCCACCTCCCAGTGACCCAAGACACTGATGCTCTGAAGGCAGCCCAAATACCCTCAAAAAGAGCCCCCAGGAGAAACAACGTTGACCACTACACCATCATCAAGTTCCCTCCGACTGCTGAGTCAATCATGAAGAAGATTGAAAATAACAACACACTTATATTCCCTGTGGATGTTAAGGCCAACAAGCACCAGATCAAACAGGCTGACACTGACACAGCCAAGGTCAGCACCCTAATCAAACCTGATGGAGAAAAGGGGCCATGTGTTTGACTGGATCCTGACTATGATGCTTTGGATGTTTCCAATAAAATTGGGATCTTCTAAACTGAGTACAGATGGCTAATTCTAAATCTAAATTTTTTCCATACATAAAAAAAAAGTAAAACAAACCTACAAGACTGAAAAAAGGAATTTATAACGAAGTCAACTCAAAGCAAAAAAAAAAGGAACAGCACAAATGTAGAACTTACAAAAGGGCAGGAAGTTAAGTAAATTTCAAGATCTAACAGACTATTTTAAATAGGGAGAAATATTAACAAATTATAGGGTAACATCAAAGAAAATAAATACATATGTTCATCAAATTTTGTTTAAAAGAGGAATGTTATAAAGACTTAATAAACATCAACACAACAGACATGTAATGTAAATAAAACCCAAACAAAATGAACTTAGTGCTGAAAATTATGTGTAACAAAGAAACCAGCAACACCACACACATACACAAAAACACACAACAAAATGACAGCAATCAGTGCATACATATTTATAATTACACTGAATGCAAATGGTTTAAAATATCAGCCAAGAGACACAGAGAGCAAAATGGATAAGAAAACAGGATTCTTCAATATGGTGTCTACAAGAGACACATAAAAAATATGGAGAAAGCCTATGATACATACACAAAATGGCATAATACACAGCATTGAAGACTCTTTGAAACACCTCATAGCATGGATAAAACTGAAGGACATTATGCTGAGTGAAATCAGTCAATCACAAAAGGATAAATACTATATGAGACCAATGCTGTAAAAAGTTTTAAGAAAAGGTTTTCTTTATAAAAGAAAAAAGTCTATGATGATTTTGGAGGAAAGGAAGAAGGAAAATTATTCAAAGGCTAGGAGGTGGACACATGTTAACAAGGGTGACAGGGCAGGCAATATACAGCAAGAAGGAAGTTAGCAGAAGAAAGATGAAGGTAGTAGGAAACAGGAAGAAACACAACAGTTAAAGGACTACAGATAAGTACGGTTAACTGTTAGTATATGGAAGGGATTGCAAACATTGTAATGAAGCAAAGTATATGTATTTACTGAATGCGAACATGATGATTTGCTCTGTAAACCTTCACTCAATTCAGAATAAAATGTTTTTCTGTTTTGTTTTGTTTTTGTTGTTGTTGTTGTTGTTTTAAAAAAGATATTTGCAATGAATAAGTTGTTAGTTTTACAAAATTCTATCATGCAGCCTCTAGCACCATTTCTATCACCAAGACCATATTTCCCAATTACCAATCCTTCCTCTTTGTTTCTGACTTTTACATTCCAGTCATCTTGATAGCGTGTTTGGTCAATTTTAGACTGAAGAAGAGGTGGAATTCTTCAACTTCTTCATCATGGCTTTAGTAGTTGGTGTGTAAATTTGAATACTAACCATATCGATGGATATTCATAGATATCATCTTATCACAGTCAGCAATGTACCTCAAGACAGATCTTGAAATACTGATTTTGACAATGAACGTGATGCCATTCCTCTTCAATCTGTCATTCCCAGCATAATATTACTGTCCTGCTCAAAATGGCCAATATCAATCTATTCAGCTCACTTAAGCCCAAGATACCAATCTTTATGTATTCCATTTCTTTTTGATGACTTTCAATTTCCCTAGATTCATATTTTGCACATTTCATGTTCTGATTATTAATGGGTATTCGCAGATGGTTCTTATTTTGAGTTGTGCCCCATTGGCAAAGAAGGTTCTAAATGCTTTGCTCCGTTCATGTCATTAAGGTTAACTCTGATTTGAGGACGTTGCTCTTTCCCAGTTGTATTTTGAGTGACTCTCCCCAACCTGAGGGGCTCATTTTCTGGCACTAAATCAGATAAAGTTCCACTGCTACTCATAATGTTTTCAGTGGTTAACCTTTCAGAAGGGGTCTGTCTCTCTTTTCTAGTCTGTCTTAGCCAGGAAGCTCCACTGACACCTGTCCACCATGGGTGACCCTGCTCACATTTAAAATATTTGACAGCATTGCTTTTAGCATCACACAAACCACCACAGTACAAGAAGCTTTACCTAAACATTATGAATGAAATCTTAGCATTTTCTGAAGAAATTCAACATACCTTAAATTGTTTTTGAGTTAACAAAAGAAGGGTAGAGGTTTAAATTACAGGTATATGGTACCAATACTTATGCATTTGTCAAAAAAATATCCCACTTACAATAAAGGAAGAGAACAAAAAACATACCTCAACAAAGAAGACAAGATTTTCTAAGAGACTAGGATGTGTTTTCAAATTACCATCTTTAACTTCTAAGAGGTCACCTTTACATTTACTGAAGACATCTGAAAACAGAGCAAAAAGTTATAGTTTAGTTTATATTCACTGCCATTTTCAGGAACACAGTGTACACTCTAGAAGAATGAGCAATACAGAAACTGAATCCAGAAAGACGTTTTTCCCACCCACAATGAATCAAATGCCAAAGGCTATCTATTTGAAGTTCTTTAAAAAGCCATGTGATTACTGGTTTACTGGCCTCAAAAAATTTAAGGTGTCATAATGAAAATCTTATGAATAGCAGGGAAACACTGTCAGACATAGTTCCGGAAAATGAGCCCCTCAGGTTGGAAGGCACTCAAAATGAGACTGGGGAAGAGCTGCTTCCTCAAAGTAGAGTTGACCATGAAGATGTGAATGGAGTAAAGCTCGTGGGAGAAAAGCCCGCGGGACCTTCATTTGCTGATGGGGCACAACTCAAAATGAAGAGTAACAGCTGTAAATAAATATCCATTGAAAATCGGAACATGGAATGTATGAAGTATGAATCTGGGAAAATTGGAAGTTGTCAAAAATGAAATGGAATTCATAAACATCAATATCTTAGGCATTAGTGAGCTGAAATGGACTGATATTGGCCATTTTGAATCTGATAACCACATGGTTTACTATGCCGGGAATGACAAATTGAAGAAGAATGGTGTTG